CGTGGGATACAACGAGGACGAGGACCATGACATGCACGAGGGCTTGCTCCTTTATCATGGGCGAGTCGTCGTGCCCGAGGCAGGATCGTTGCGCGAGGACATCATCCGACACTTCCACGACTCGAAGTTTGGAGGATACTCAGGGGTGTTACGGACATGGATGAGAATTGCAAGCACTTTTTATTGGCCGGGGCTGAGGGGTGATGTGCGCGACTACGTTGGGCGATGTGATGAGTGCCAACGCACTAAGGCGGACGTGCATCGACCAGGCGGGCTGCTCCAACCTTTGCCGGTTCCCGCGCGTATTTGGGAGGACATCACCATGGATTTTATCGAGGGGTTACCACTCTCGAATGGGTTCAATGGAGTCATGGTGGTAGTCGACCGCCTTACCAAGTATGCGCATTTTATTCCACTCACTCATCCATACACGGCTAAGTCAATAGCAAAATTGTTTGTTGAATACGTGATGACATTGCATGGGTTGCCGCGGTCAATAGTGTCCGACCGAGATCGGATATTCATGAGTAGTTTTTGGTCAGAGTTCTTTAAATTGCAGGGAACTGAGCTAAGCATGAGCTCGACTTATCACCCACAAACCGACGGACAGACGGAGGTGACCAATCGCACACTCGAGCAGTACCTTAGGTGCTATGTACATCAGTTTCCAAAGCGATGGGAGGATTATTTACCTTGGGCCGAGTATTGGTATAACACTACTTACCATAGCTCGATTAAGGCGATGCCGTTCGAGTTGGTGTACGGGCGCAAACCGCCGACAATCGTGAGTTACTCGATGGGGAGCGCCGTGAATGATGAGGTCGATCGAGAGTTGGTGGAGCACGAGTTGATGTTGCGCGAGCTAAAGCGGACTTTGGAGGGCTCGATCAATATGATGAAGGCGTACCATGATGGCAAGCGGCGTGACGTGGAGTTCGAGCCCGGGGACTGGGTATACTTGAAGTTGAGGCCATTCGGCAAAGGACGGCCGCGACCAAACTCGGAGTTCGATATTACGGGCCTTATAACATTTTGGCCAAGGTTGGGAAGGTTTCTTATCGACTTGAGTTGCCGGACGATTCCCATATTCATCCGGTCATACACGTCTCACAACTCAAGCAACGGCTCGGTGAGGCGCATGTGGCAAAGGATCGACTACCCGCGGTCGCGCCGGACGGACAGGTTATGGTGCGGCCGAGCCGCGCAATGGAGTATCGGCAAGTCAAAAAGGCTGGGAAATATTTCTGAGAAGTGCTCGTCGAATGGGAGGATTTACCCAGTGAGGAAGCAACTTGGCAGAGTTGGACGAGATGCGCGAGATGTTCCCCGACTTCCTTGAGGACAAGGAAGCACTTGAAGGGGACGGGAATGATGCGGACACGGCGAGAAGACTAAACAATGCTGCGAGCCGCGCTTATCATGCACGACGAAGGTTAAGCCGACGGGCTGCTGAGGCTCAGCTCGTTAGCGGACATGCGCGTGCGGACAATGTCGCGCGCGAGAATTTCAACCAAGGTCGCGATAGCCCGAATGCGACCGAGGAGGTTCACGCGCGAGCAGACCTAACCAAGGAAGGAATAGGCGAGGCGGGCGCGGGAGTCCAGCACGCGCGTAAAGGCGGCTTGAGGCCCAAGCAAGAGATATTCTAGAGATTTATTTCCTTGTTTTTTAGTTTGTTTAGGACACCTAATATTTTATTGCTTTATTAGAGTTATAACTATAATAAGACTAGATCTAGTTGATGCCTATATAAAGGCCCTCTCTCTTGTTAAAATTCATAATTGATTCTTCTTAATACAAAAATCCGAACTTTTGTTCAAACACTTTGCATAGATTTCTTTGAGTTCTGTTGCAATTTTACTTGTTTCGAAGGACTGTGGACACGGATCTTCGGGACCCTATCTCGATTTAAGGCACTCGCGTGGCTTGTCGAAAGTCCGAACACACGATCTTCATCATTGGTGCTTTCATTGAGAGCTGATTGATCGTGTGTTCTTCTTCCTCCTGATTCTAATTTTAATTTTCTTGTTTGATCTTTCTTCGTTCTAAAAAAAATAAATATAAAAATAAAAATAAAAATAAAAATCAAAACGAGTCCTCGTAGCAAAGAAAGAAAAAAAGAGAAGAAGGAGATGGCCAACAAAGAGATGAAGGACAAAATCGATGGCCTTGATGCACGGGTTTCGGGCAT